GCATTATTTTAAATTACTCCGATGGATTTTTATATGTATTGATAGAACGTTTGTTTAAAATTGTTTTGAAAATGTTGTATATTCGGATACCAATCCAGTGGCACACCGGTCCGCTGTCTCACGGGTTTGGGTTATGCGGGTTGGGGTGTTACATTTTGGTATCGGAGCATTTGGTTTTAAAATCGGTCTTTGGACCCTTTCAAAATAAAATACAATGAATAATTCAGCCGCATCTGCATCTCACGTAACTCCTCTGCCCCGGGAAGGTAATAAGTATTTATAGCTTTATCTGTTATATGTTAAGATCTGACTTGGGAATTTCCTTATTATTTTAGAATGAGTCAAGAATCGACCCATGTTCAGTACGTGCACACGGTGAACACCGAGGGTTCGAGTTTCACGCCTCCGGGTGACGGAGGGCAGCAGCAGAATCAACCTGAGCCAGCGGGGCAACCACCAGCTGTACCACCGCCAGTCGTACCACCTCCAGTGATGCCACTATTGGTGATGCCGCAGGTGGCCTACGAGTAGATGTTCCCGGCCATGATGGCCCATTATATGCAGCACATGGCGCAGCTTATGTCCATGTTCCAGCCAATGCCACCACCACAGCCGCAGCCGCGCATCGTTACCTTCAAGACGTTGAAGGATAATGGAGCGGAAGAGTTTCGAGGAGACAAGATGGGGGAGCCCCAGATTGCATTGGATTGGCTTGAGCAGATGGACCGGGTACTCAAGAATTTGAGAGTCCCTGATGCAGATCGCTCGGAGTTGGCGTCACAGATGTTTCAGAAGGGAGCATATGATTGGTGGAAGCGCATTGACCAGGATCCACACACGCCCAAGCCATGGACCTAGGATCGCTTTGATCGAGCTTTCACGAAGGAGTACGTCCCCATCCGGTACCGCGAGGAGAGGCGCGATGAGTTCGTTGCGCTTAAGCAGGAGGGGATGTCACTGCCTGAACTGAGACAGAAGTTCGACTACCTGTCCCAGTATGCAACGAGTCTGGTCTCCACTCCGGAGGATCGTTTGAATGAGTTCGTCAAGAAGCTACGGCCGGACTTTAGGCCGTACGCCGCGCTGATCACGACGACAGATTTTAATGCGGCGTATGATTTGATTGTGAAGACGGAAAAGAGCTTGGACAATTTGCAGGCAACCAAGAAGGAGGATCGATCGACAAAAGACTCGCGACCCGCGGCCAGCACGGGGCCGAGCGGGAAGAGTTTTGGATTTGGGGGAAGGAGGTACGAGAAGGGTTCTTCGAGTGCGCCGCCGCCTAAGAGGAGTAAGTCGAAGCCGTCTCCGTCGGCCGCCGCTAGCAACTCGATCAGAACGAGGAGCCACCCGCAGTGTGTACAGTGTGGTAGGCATCACCCAGGCGAGTGTTGGCTCGCCCAAGGCTTATGTTTGGGTTGTGGTCAGCCAGGGCATTTCAGGAGGCATTGCCCGACAAACCCTAGCAGCGAGCCTGTTTTTCCTAGAGCTCCAGATCAACCTGCTGCATCGCATCCAGCACGGAGTCAGCAGTCTACGGCCGCAAATAATCAGCAGAGA